GGGGGTGTTTTAGTGACCACATAATATACATTCAACCCAAAAATTATAATTTATAACTCGGGGTCCAATAATTGCTGCTCGTCGTCAGGAAGTAGACAAAGAACTTCCCAATACACTGGAACAGACGGGGGCCTCTCGTGGCTTACAGGTTAAGGTGTTCGCCTCTCATCCAAAGGTCCCGGCTTGGAATCCGGGGAGCGAAGAAACTTTTTCTTCTTTGAAATTGTTTCTATTCACCTCCTTTCCTGCTCTCTAGCAATGGTCTGTCGTCTTCTTTCGTCTACACTTTCTGCCCCCACTTCCTCACCTTCTTTTCCACCTCAACTGGGCTCCTGACTCTTTCTGCAGCCTTTCAACTGCTACTCCTTAGCTCCTTCTTACTGCCGTCTTTCAGCCATACTCCTGATCTTCTGGTAGGAAAGATCTTGTTTGTTTGTTCCAGCAGAGGTTTTACGGCGCTCGCTACTGCTTATAAGGACATATGAGTGCCAAGAAAAGATCTACACCTAGCCTTCTCGGACAAGGTCGAAATATCTCGGTGGTCCCGTGCGTAAGTTGCGCACGTTAAGTTAAAGATACTTTGGTGGTCTAAATTCGATAAGAGTAGAGGTTTTAGCCGCAAACCTGGGCAAAATTTAAAATAACCTACCAACTGAAAATGTTTTGAGTGCCCGCGCACTGATATGACCTTATGCAGTTGCGAACACTGTAAAACACTTACAAAAAAAAAATTTAAAAAAATAAAGCTGGAAAAGACTAAGAATCTACACCAGAGTTCTCAGCCATCGCTTGGTGCCCGTGTCTGTCTGTTGTGTGGGGTGGGCGATTACAAAAAAGAAGGGGGGTGGTATGGGGTACTTTTGACATCCTTCACTTACAGACCTACTTAACGGTCATAGGCGACCTCAATGCTTTCTTGTCCTATCTCCATTTTTGTAAACATTGAAAATGTGACTTCTTCCCTCTTTGTTATAAACTGTTTTCACTGTTATTGAAAAAAGGAGATACAGTATAGAACAAGAAAGCACTGAGGTCGCGATGTTACGTTTGGACTCATTTGAACCCAGAACCTTCATTTGCCAACTATCCTCCCTAGAATTTACTACTCACCGCTATCCTCCGATCCTTTTCTTAGGGTTAGTTAGAGTTTTATGGCACTTGCAACACAATAAGGTCATAGAAGTGCCGAAGATCAGAGAGTAACAAACACCAAAAAGGAGGAGGTGTGATAAGGACAATAGATGTTCGATAGGAAAGAAGGAGCAGAACACACCAGAGCACCCACTAACCACCCATCATCTTTCTCGGACCGTGAACTCAGGCCATAAACATCGATAAAGCCCGTCTCTGTTTTATTGATGTTGAGTTGCAGCCCATATAGGGATCTGATTAATGACGGCCTCACACATCAAGAACAAGAAAGAGCTGACCAAATCACGCTTCCCACAAACTTCACATTCTTTTAGTTTTAGCAAGGTTTTACGGCACTCGCAGCTGCATAAGGTCTTATGAGCGCCAAGGGGTGGATGTCAACAGAGAAATCCATACAGGGAATAAGGCTTACTCTGCTCACCTCTCTAGCCTCAACAGCACAAGGTCTGTTTCGACTATCAAGGCACCCTGGAAATAGCGGGTCACAAGAGAGTGACAAACATACAAAAGAAGTAGAGGAAAAATGACGATAGTAAGGATGAGGAAAAGAAAAGCAGCAGTTCCCTCTATGTTGTTCAGCACAGTATGAGCATGGCATTGATAAATCAGCCCATTGACAATTCTACTGTGCATAAGAACATGTTACTATCCAAGCACAATGTACTCCAGCTGTTGGAAATTAGGCCATTCAGGAAACAACACAAAAATCACAAACTTTGGAGTTAAAAAATGGGACAACGACGGAGGTGGATTCTATTTTCAAACAGCTTTTTTTCTTCACATTTTTTAGTTTCAATATATCAAGACAAATCACAGGCCTGTGATGTACAGAGTTGTATGTTCATAGCAAAATAAAAGAACTACATATAAAATCTTGGAAGCAACTCCTAGTTTAATTAATCCAAACTTCAAAGTCTGCTATGAAATTTCATTTCACCAAAAAAATGTATGCAAAAGGACTGAAAGTTCCCAGTGTTTCAAAACAAAGGCTCAAAAGTTTAATAATTACATGCCAACAGATCCATCATTATTGAGACACAGTGCAATGTTTGTCCAAGCTACATGATGTACTTTATTCAGCGTGAAACGGGAACATCCGAGCCTATTTTTACGGTAGTAATCTTAAGTGTACATTTAATAACATTCTCACCATAGTACAAATTAATTAATAAGTATGTACATATATTGTGAAATGATGCTGTAAAACCTTCCAAAGCAGTTAAGAGCACAAACCTTACAAAATGTTGCTTGTGATACGGTGAAAAGAATCTCTGAGTGAGAGATGACACTTATGAGAGATACTGGTTGAGTGAGTGAACGAGTGAGAAAAGAGAAAATGATAAAGAAAGGGAGGAAGAATTATGGACAGAAATAGATCAATTCTATTTTGACGAAATCAGCAGATTTTTCTAAACATTTTTCTCCTTTCCTTTCACAAGAGACATTGGTACAGACTGTTGAGGCTAAGAACATAACCCATACCAAACAGTAGGACTGCTTTTGCATCATTAAAAAAACAAAAAATCAACAAAACAAAAACACACTGAAGTCAGTCATTCCTCAGGTAAACTAGGCAACATTTTTCACGAGTCCAAAAGGGTAACACGTTACGGACCACGGACCACGGACCACGGACCACGGACCTGCCTTCCACAAAACACAAGCGACAATATCTGCACGACATAACTAGACCAGTCTTCTTCCACCCTTCAGGAAGATCTAAAATGCTAAAAGAACAACTCCACAGAGAGAGAATAACTCCCTCTTGTTACAATTTTATAAAACCCTAAGACAGATGTAGAATATTTTCCCTCATCGCCCAAAAAATAATACGGTAGAAAATGAGAGGTAAACCGACCATGATTGTGCTGAAACTAAATGTCAGCTGGGAACAAATAATACTTTGCTAATAATAAGCTTTTCACAGGTGATAGAATTTCCATATACGTGAGGCAGCGTGGTGAAATCAGGCGCTCATCAATTTAATGAAATTAATAGAGAAATCTGCATTTTTACGGACGTTGGGCAGTTTTTTTAAATTTTATTTTCTTGGCTCAACATCTATAATGTCCATTAAAAAACACATTCATATGCGGATTTTACTGAAAAACCTCCATCAAAGGCACAAAAGACGTAAACTTTCCATGGACTCTCAAGCCTTGGTAGTCACCAAACTTTGCCCGCCATATTCCCGCTAATTTTACTTCTGAAACAAAGCAACACCATCTCCTTGAAATGCAAATATCTCGACTCCTATTCAAGATAGATGTGTCCTTTTCTTCAACGAAAGCAAGACAACAGAACAAGCTTTATGATGATACCAATAACTCCATATGCCCAAAAATTGACGAGCGCCTGATTCCACTGCGTCGTGACACATATATGTTTGTATCACAGCCTTGCTAGACTCAGCATCACAAGAAGTTTTAGGTACGTTTGTAATTGCTCATCATTGTACTATCCCAATCCTGCGACTCATTGTACTATCCCAATCCAGCGACTCATTTACGTGCTCTCGATAAACTGCCGGAAGTCTTCCAAGTTCACACGGCCTTCGGGATCAGACGTGATCTGACAAATGACCTGCAGAGAAAAGAAAGTAAGTTGTCGTTTTAGTTAAAGTTTTACGGCACTTGCAACACAAGCAGGTCATATCACATAAGTGCGAAGGTAAGAGGTGTTACAAGAGACTAAGATGCAAAGAGAGGAAGCAGGAGAGATAGGGATGACTGATGTTTGATAGGAAAGAAGGAGGAGAGATAGGGATGATTGACGTTTGATAGGACAGAAAGAGCAAACCACACTAGATCACCCGCCAACCACCCACTGGTAGTCAGTGTCAATAAGTCAGAGCTAAGTGATGCTAGAATTCATTACCTCTGTTTGACAGAATTGATTTCTTTTTTTTTTTTAACAACTGGACTCTACAACTTTCGTAACGTTTGCTTTGACTCAAGACAAAGAACGGACATTAACATAAAGACGAGGGAGCGTAGCTTCCCTCAGAGAAGCTTTGTACATAGTTCTACCCACGTTCACAGCTGTTTAGCTGAGGAACTTTTCATATATATCGGTGTGCATCACACTGGCCGCTCACTCGGGTTCAACTCACTTAAGACATTTCCCATTAAAAACATGGGATAAGCAGTCAGTGCTGTCAGATGTTTCCCGTGGAAAATGCTGGATTATAGCGTCTATATAAATGCTGCTAAAAGCACGGGATCTGGCTCAGACCTATGCGTAGCCATTTGTTTCGTTCCACCAAAAATTCTCCAGAAATCAACCAAGAACTTTTTTGATGCAGAGCATTTTTAGTTAAGTGACTGTTAAGACGGCTTGTGTTGTAAATTGCAATGATTGTCGATATAATATGTTTTACTTTTTTATTCGCCAATTTTTTAAACGTTGAATTTTACACCCTTTTTTTAAAGCAGAGATCATAGATCTAGACACTTGCACTTTGGTATGTTTATTGTTTTTGTGTTGTTCTTGATTGTGTCAAAAGGGCATTGCAGTTGGGTTAAATGGTTCAGATTTTATACAATTTTGGAAAAAAATAAAAACCCTTCAGTCTACAGTCGGCCTACTTGTACATAGTAAAATCCTTTAGTCTATGGTGAGTTAATGAGTAAAGACAACAAGAGAGACAACTCACGGCATGAGTCATCACTGCTACAAACTCTAGTACTAAATAGAACCTCTTTGTGTGGGGGACATCACTGCCACAAAATCTACTACTAAATAGAACCTCTAGGGGAGATCAATCCATAATCTTCCAACTGAGAACACAACATATACCCCTCAACCAACATCTCAACCGAATTGGAGTAAAGCAGTCTTATGCCTGCCCACTATATGACTACCCCTCAGAGACAGTGGAACATCCTCTGTTCTTCTGTAGAAAACTAACCGATCTGATGGGGATGTTTTCTTCCCAAGCTACCCCACACATCTAACTGCCTCTACTCCTCAAGACAACAATTAGATCAGACATGCAGCTATTTCAGAATGGCATCGTGCAGAAGAGTTAACGCTCAGATGCTACTGGATCGCTAACAACAACAACAAACAGAACCTCTGTGAGTTTCATGAGATGAGACAACTGGGGAGACAACTCACGGCACAGAGGACATCGTCGTCAATAGGGAGCTGCAGACGCTTGCACAAGTCTCGCAGGTTGTTGATGTCAATGTAGCCGGTGCGGTCGTTGTTGTAGCGGAGGAACATCTCGTCCACGCGCGCCTTGTCCGTGATGGCAATCTTCTTCAGCTGCGCCCGCACCTGTCGCACCATCAGCTCAAGGTCGCCCGGTCTGTGGAACAAACGGAGCATGGTTACACCACCGTTTGACGATTATTTCATTGCCAGTCTTTCTACCAATACCTCTGTTGGTATTATTGTAATAATAATGACAATACTAAAATATTATTAGTAATAATAATAATAATAATAATAATATTAATAATAATGGTAATAATAATAATATTAATAATAATAATAATAATAATAATAATATTAATAATAATAGTAATAATAATAATAATAATAATAATAATAATAATAGTAATAATAATAATTATAATAATAGTAATAATAAAAAAGATAATAAAAATACTACTACTACTAATAATAATAGTAATAATAATAATAATAATAATAATAAAAATAATGATGGAGATAACACCTGCATAATTTATACCTTATCTAAGCTCTACAGCGTGCTCTGTATACTTTACACTATTTATTGGTATGACTACGAGGAAGGTTGCAAGATAAACGAACGTAATTTCCCATAAGACCACGAGCGATTTGTTTTATCATTTTAATAAGCATTTTACGGCACTTGCAACACAATAGTATCACATAAGTGTCAAAGATCACAGGTGTTAAAAGAGAGTAACAAACACAAAAAGTAGAGATATAATAAACACGATAGATATTTGATAAGAAAAAAGGAGCAGACCACAGCAGAACACCCGCCAATCACCCACCACCACAGGCTATGTGTGTTAGCGACACCTGGAGGGGGGAGGGGGGGGGGGGAGATTCCACTACAAGCAAACCACGGTGTGTACTCACTGTCTCTGTACTTTCATGGGTCCTCCTTTCATGGTCTCCTGTGGCCCAGCGTACTCACCCACCTTCTCCCTCACCGACGACACTGTTTGCTCTGGGGGGGGAACAGGTGGGGAAAAGGCACGCATCAGAATACCATTGGGTTACAGTGAGAATAATAATAATAACAACAATAATAAAAATAATAATAATAATAATAATAATATTAATAATAATAATAATAATAATAATAATAATAATAATAATAATAATATTAATAATAATATTAATAATAATAATAATAATAATAATAATATTAATTATAACTAGCTGGGGCCCCTTTCGATGAAAGGAATGGTCGGTGCTTTAATATCAACTAAAAGTCTTTGGCCTAATATATTTACACTCTACTGGAATGGGGCAATGAATCTCGAAAGATGCAAAAAAATTATGGAAAAGGTCTAGATATATACTCTCAAAACAAAATGCCGCTTCGCAAAAATCACTTCCGGATTTTCTAAAATTACAGAGACAAAAGCGATCGGCGAAATAAAGAAATTTTGCATTTTGCAGCAAAACTGTCTCAAAACTGAAAAAACCAAGGGCGTCATTCTCTGGAGAATATTTTAAAGAATCTTTTGACGAAAACCGCATGTCGATCGATGCAGCCATTAAAAAGCCTTTTGAATAGCAAAATTCGGCCACCACAAATAGATAATAGATAATAATAATAGCATTTATATAGCACATACACATGCTCAAGAGCAGGCTCTATACGTTTTACAACCATTATTACCAGCAGACCCTCTGAGAACACTCAGAAACATTCTCGGCTTCCGCGGAAGCATACAGTGCAAGCTGCGGATTTCACGCGCTCAAACACTATCAAACTGACAAGACCTTTCACTGCCTATAGCTGGGTACCCATTTCCACCTGGGTGAAGTGAGGAAAATTTGTGCAAAACGCCTTTCCCGAGGACACAATGTCGGGTCCCTGACGGGATTCGAACCCACGACCTTACGGATGCGAGTCTGAGAGCCTAACCACTAGGCCACCGACGCCACTGTACTAAGTATGTATCTAGCTTAACATTTAGCCCCCACAGAACACCGATCGGTGACGGTGTGATATAGCATGTACAGCATCTGTGTCCTGGTCTGAGGGCAGGATAAGTGGTGCGCACTCTGAGGGTGGGTGGAAGGAAAGTGTTCAGATTATTCTTGTTTATATTACTTTTCATTTATATTATGCGTGTGACTGTAAGTCATATCGTGTGTGTGCATGTTTGTGAGTGAGTGTGTGTGTGAGCGTATTTTACCTCTGAAAACAGGTGACACCCACCTCCTTAAATCACAAATATTTGGACTGCCATTAAAGATAGATGGGCATTTTTCTATCAAAAGCAAGGTAAATGAACAAACTTTAAGAAAATACTAATACCTCCACATGCCCAAAAATTGACGAGCGCATGATTCCACCGCTTTGCAACACATTTCGACTGCTCAGTGTAAAACTTCCTTATACATTGTCATACATCACTTTTTTTAAATTAAATAACATGGCACAGTCTTACAGTAAGCAGTCAATTTGTGTGAAAATACAGATATATGGATGGGGAAGTGCTTACAGATCTTTGCCAGAAGAAGCACAAGATGAGCCCAAAAGCTGACATAATTTGTTTCAGTGCCCGAGGATGGGGATGACAGCATGTATTTCACAGAAAATGAAAGATAACTCGATGATTGAAAGTTTCAGGAACAGGATCTTATAAACAGTTTGATCACAAAATGCCAAAAATGCCATTTTCAAAGCTTGGGCGAAACTGGTAGTGTTGTATGTAGAAAGGCAAGGCACATTGTAGATTGAACCTCTGTCTGTGAGTGCAAGTATTATGTGTGTGTGTGTATGAGTGTAGATGTATGTGTGTGTGTGTGTGTGTGTGTGTGTGTGTGTGTGTGTGTGTGTGTGTGTGCAGGAAGGATCAGAAACAAGTAAAACAGGACTATGACCCAGCCCCCACAACCAGACCACACACGCCACAACGATTGTCCTACCAGGGAACTGCCCCCTGTGCTCCTCCATATACTTCAGGACAAAGGCGTCGGCGTTGGTGATGACGAATCGGTGCTTGAAGATCTCGATGACGGCCCCGATGTAGAAGTCCTGAGGACCGTAGTACAGAGGCTTCTCCAGGGAGGAGCCAGGCTTCGCTACACGCGTCCGCTCCAGGAACTTCCCCCCGATGATGCCAGAGTTTCTGACCGGCGGCTCGTAAATGGTCAGCATATCGTCTGCCAGCCTGTACGTGATGATGAAGCGGCGGCCTTTGTCTTCTGGACGCATCGTGTCCTGAAAAAAAGAGAAGAGTTCTCCTTCGTTAGACGTGAACATGTTGTTGATGGGAGTTAAAAGGGTATAAGAGAGACGTGAACACAGTCAGAAATGATCTTCCACTCTCTTCATAGCCATGGATGAGAGAGACAAAACAAGGCACATAAAAAGCTAGTACTGAATGAATGAATTACAAATCTTACAGCTGACTAGTTCCATCATTTCTCTATTTCTCTGCAAGTCCTTTAACCCTCTCCGTATGCCCTGGGGGCATTTTGTACCCAAGGGGTTGCATTCCTCACATTTTAGAATACTTCTAGTGCAAAGATCTCTTTGAAACTTTCAGTATTTCTCAAAAATTTATTTCGACAGACTGCTATGCAAAATCTACCGATCCGATTAACAAGTAAATTTTCTCTTTGGAAAGTGGTGGCACAGAGTTCCCCACATCGTATGGATACGATAGTAAAACACGACGTAGGGATAGGATCAGTACAGGTCAACTCAACAGAAAGCCATGCTTTTTAATTTTTTCACAAATTCTCTCCTCAGCCTCAAACGGAACTTTTCCATCCACGGCTTGAGCCATAACTTCCTGTCTCAGGAAGAGCCACTCTCAGCAGCTTGCTGTGCCGGTGACCTGCTGTCCACAACTCCATTACCCCCCTGGGCAGTGCCACTGACTGTAGTGTCTTTAGGCCATTCCAAAAGGGGGGACATTTCTCATTCAAGCATAGTAGAATTGTAAATGGGCTGACTCATGTCACGCTCATAACTGTGCCTGATCTGCAACAGGGAACTGCTGCTTTTTCTTTCCTGATCCTTACTATTGTCATTTTCCTCTACTTCTTTTGTATGTTTGTATGTTTTTGTTTTAGCAGAGGTTTTACAGCGCTCGCAACTGCATAAGGTCATATGAGCGCCAGAAGAATAGAGGTGTTACAAGAGAGTAACAAACATATAAAAGAACAAGGGGAGATAAGGACGATAGATGTTTGATGGGAAAGAAGAAGCAAACCTCACCAGAGCACCCGCCAACCACCCACTTTTGTATGTTTGTCACTCTCTTGTGACCTGCTATTTCCGGGATGCCTTGATAGTCGAAGCAGACCTTGTGCTGTTGAAGCTAGAGAGGTGAGCAGAGTAAGTCTGATTCCCTGTAAAGACTTCTCTGTCGACACTGACACCCATCCCTAGGTGCTCATATGACCTTATGCAGTTGCGAGCGCCGTAAAACCCTCTACTATATATAAAAAACAACTCTGTCAAATTCTTTTACAACAACAACAACATTACAGTACATATCAGCGATCTCCAATACTAGATCTTTCTTAAGGGGATTTCCTTCATTAGGCAGATGAAGAACTATAATAATAGGATCATTTGTGTTTATTCAATGCCCAGTGGAGTGAGGAGTAGGTCACTCCCAGGTCTCACACAGGGCGCTGCACAGTGGACACCGGCAATGGCATGGCTGTGCATTGTTCTGTATTAGTGTAATATTGTGTATTTATGTATTTATGTCATCATCCAGTGCCTTGCCGACTGGCATGGGCGATCATGGACCTCTACTTCTCTCTGTCTTGCGTTGCAACAATGGTGTCTGTTGTTCTTGCTGCTCCTAGTCATGTTGTCATCTTGTCCAGCATCTTTTCCCTCTGTCTGCCTCTGCCTCTCTTTCTATCAAACTTGTCTGTTGTTACAATATTCTCCAATGCTTCTTTCCGCATTGTGTGTCCGAAGAAATTTGCCTGTCGCTTTCTTATATTCGTCATTAGCTGTCTTCTACAATTTGCTTCAACCAAGACTTCTTCATTTGTTTTTCTAGCTCTCCATGGGATACGCAGCATGTGTCTTATGAACCACAACTCTGTCGCCACAATTGTTCTTTCCAGCAGTTTATTGATTGTCCACGCTCTACACCCGTATAAAAGGATTGGCTCGATGTAACTTTTCAGTACTCTTTTTCTCGTTTCCACTGACAGATTGATGTTTGTTAGTATCTGTTTCATTTTGAGGAAGGTTGCTTTTGCTTGGCAAATGCGGGTTTTAATTTCGGTGTGACAACCACCATCTGATGATATAATGGTCCCCAAATATTTAAAATGTTGTACTTGCTTGAGGGTGGTATCATTGGTTTTGATATTGCATGTTGGGGTTGGAGTTTTTCTGCTTATCACTATCGTTTCCGTTTTCTTGATGTTTAGGCTTAAGCCCATGCTGTCACTCTCTTGTATGATGACATTTAATAGATATGTATTTATGTACGTATGTATTTATAATTATGTCTTTATAATATATGTGCCTATTATGTATGTTTGAAATTGTAAACCAAATTACCCCTCTGGGATCAATAAAAGTGTAATTCATTTCAGTTTATTATTTCCCACCAACAGAGGGCTCTAGCAAAGTGTGAAAACACCCTCTGGAGATAAAGAATTAAAAAAACACGGCAAACAAAACACAAACAAATTTCAACACTTCGTGACCCGAGTGCTTTCTTGTCGTATCTCCATTTTTAATAACAGTGATAACAGTCCATAACAAAGAGTGAGCTTAGAAAGATGTCACATTTTCACTGTTTAAAATAAAAGGAGATATGACAAGAAAGCACTGGGGTCACGACTTTAACAAACTCTTTCAACAAAGCGCACTAAAGTTCTGAAAGTAACAAAATAATGGTACAATTCCAATTACAAGGAAAAAACAATAAAAGAAAAAACAAACTCAGAAAACAAAGTGATTTACCTTACAGCCGGGGCTCTGAGCATAACGAATATATGAAACCAAGAGAGAGAGAGTTTTGTGAAGGAATTATTGCATCATTTCACACTTTGCCGTCACATCTTGCTAATCCGCAATGTTTACCACCTTATAGTTTTTGGGGATTTTCCCCAAACTGCCTTTACCTTTGATGGCAAGAGTTTTTACTATATGAGCCTTGTGATGGCAAGAGTTTTTACTATATGAGCCTTGTGATGGCAAGAGTTTTTACTATATGAGCCTTGTGATGGCAAGAGTTTTTACTATATGAGCCTTGTGATGGCAAGAGTTTTTACTATATGAGCCTTGTGATGGCAAGAGTTTTTACTATATGAGCCTTGTGATGGCAAGAGTTTTTACTATATGAGCCTTGTGATGGCAAGAGTTTTTACTATATGAGCCTTGTGATGGCAAAGTTTTAAGTCAACTGCAAGTAAAGACCCCAAAAAATCGGTACGAGGGAGAAGCAGTAAGAACAAATGTTTGCAGAAGAAAGCAGGATTTTGCCAAAATAAACCATTTTGTGTCAAAACAGCGGGTGCTTAGAGCAACATTTTAACAAAATCTTTGTCAGAAAATGTGAAAACGAATATATACAGTCTGACACAGCCCGGAAAGATTTTGTTTGGATTAATTTTTTCCAAATCTAGGTGTTTTAACGCCCTGTCAACACAATTTTAAATCTCTCAAGAGACCCTGCCCATCAGAACCAACAATGGCTGAGAAGAATAAAACATCCCAGCAAAAAGACCCAGATCAATAAAATGTCTTCCTACTCAGGAATCAAACTCCGATCTCCTGCATGCCACAATATAGTGCCCAACCGCCATTTGTAAGACACCATTTGTGAGGCGTGCTGACAAAATGAGGTACCTCTCGCAATTCATGAACGGAGATATCAGACAAAAAATCGACACAAAGGTCATATTTGCAATGTCCATTACTATTAGGCAAACCATCTCCCTTGCCTTAGTACATTAGGAAACCTGGCAACTGGTAACGACTGGCGCGTATTCAGAGAAGAGACTTTTCAGTAATAAAGCGTACTTCCACCGGTACAGTCGTGTCTGACTCCTGTTGCTTTCAATGTCTGTCTAGATCTAGATGTTGTGATTGTGATGTCCTGACAATACAATATTTATAGATTCTAAACCGATGCCATTCTCTTCAAGCTAAACATGTCTTTTATCATTTCATACTAGTAAATTGTAAAAACTCAACCTATAAATTTGACATATCTATTTCTATCAGGCTAAAATCCGAGAAGTAACTCATTTTGTCAGCACGCCTCACATTTTATCTGAATTGTACGTGTACTGAGCAAGCTATATCTGACTTACCATAATGGCCTCATAGCGCAATTCTCTGTGGTGTGTATTGAGCCTGTTGTAAGTGAGCAGTGCCCCTTGATGTATACTGAGCGAGCTGTATAATCCAACTTACCGTAATGCCCTCAAAGCAGTCTTTGTGGTGTGTACTGAGCAAGCTATATCCAACTCACCATAATGCTCTCATAGCGCAGTCTCTGTGGTGTACACTGAGCCTGTACTAAGCGAGCAGTGCCCCAAAATGTGTATTGAGCAAGGTATATCCGACTTACCATTATGCCCTCAAAGCGCAGTCTCTGTGATAAGAGTATTGAGCAAGCTATATCAGACTCACCATAATGGCCTCAAAGCGCAGTTCCCTGTGGTCATTCTCCAGCATCTTGATGAAGTCTTTCTTTGGTGGCTGGGGAATCAAACTGTTGCAGGACTGCAGGGAATCTTCGATGGACCCAAAGTTGTTGTACTCCGCAATCTCCTGTTGAACGACAAACAAACTAGATGACAAACCACCCAATACTCGTTAAACTTGTCCCCCTCCCCTCACCCAGAGCAGTGCCACTGACTGAAGTGTCTTTAGGCCATTCCCAAAGGGGGGATATTAACATGTACTTATGCACAGTAGAATTGTAATTGTAAATGGGCTGATTTATCAATGTCGTGCTCATAACTGTGCCGGAACAACATAGGAGGAATGCTGCTTTTTCTTTCCTCATCCTTACTATCGTCATTTTTCCTCTACTTCTTTTGCATGAATGTCACTCTCTTCTAAACTGCTATTTCTCGGGTGCCTTGAGGCTAGAGAGGTGAGCAGAGTAAGCCTGATTCCCCGTTTGGACTTCTCTGTTGACATCCACCCCTTGGCGCTCATATGACCTTATGCAGTTGCGAGCGCCATAAATCCGTACTAAAACAAACTACCCAACACTCGTAAAACTCTGGGCAAGAAATGGAAAAGATGTTTTCGAATAAAGGCAATGAAAAGCAAAAAATAACAGACATTCTGCAATTGCGTAAAAAAATATTTGCTTTTGTTCAGATACAAAAATAATTGTGTATTACAACAAAAACAGCACCCCTCCCAATCCATTTGAGATTTTGCCATCAGTGTCCAGAGATCATAAATTCCCTTACAAAACATTTACGTCCCAGTGAGGGTTAGAAGAAAGCATCTAGCCTCATATCTATCTTCCGTTCTGTGCTGTGTCAATAAAATCAACTCATGTTTGTCACCGTAATGTGGCACACACGTTCTTCACTAACCATCTTTGGCAGCTCCTTTGCCATTCCCTTCACTTCGACTGGTGCAAAATTTGTGGTTCCGAAATGGTTGTAGTAGAAGCCCTTGGTGAAATTGTCGCAGTCGTAAATTAAGAACCTCCTCCCATAAATGGACAGGGTTTTGCCAATCTCAAAGTCTTTGGGGGTGAAGTATTGTTTGATTTCCTGGTCTGAAATCTCCATCACCACACTCGGGAAAGAGGACGGTAGATCGAAGCGGTTCTTGGGCACTTTGTGACGTCCGATGAGGACGGGGAACGGGTCGCGGCCGTCGTTGGGAGTGTGCACCTCTCGGACTTCTAGTGTGTCGTCCACAAGGTAGTACTGGAACACGCAGAATGGGGGAAGGAATAAAGATAAACGTACAGAATGAGTGAAGGAACAAAGATAAATTATACAATTGTCACATATAAAGGTAGTACTGGAACACACAGAATGAGTGGAGGAATAAAGATAAACACACAGAATTATTGAACGAATAAGGATAAATATACAATTGTCACAGATAGATATTATAAGACTTTAACGCACAGAATGACGGAAGGAATAAGGATAAATATACAATTCTCACATACAAATAGGACTGAATCTCACAGAATGATGGAAGAAACAATGATAAAAATAGTTGTCACATACAGACAGGACTGGATAAGAAAGCAAATAATGCAAAGCAACGCATCTTGGTGACATCTGAGAGAGAATTTGATAAAAAGAATCAAAACTGAACACATTGAAAGTGTCGTAAAGAAATAACAAGAGAAAATCTAATGATGTCCCTTAAAAACTTACAGATTCTTAGTCCTGCTACCTAAAAAACAAATAATTTTCAATTTTTCAAACACTACTACTATTTCAGGTATTTCACCCAAGAACATTTTACATGAAATAAAATAAGAAGACATTGAGTTTATAAATATAAATAATAAAGAGTCAATGATAAGAAAACATTGAGTTTATAAATAATAAAGGGTCAATGAAAGACACACACACATAATTCCACCTACATGTAAAACAAAAGGCCTCATTTCCCCAAACATCTGGTCGCGGTCGTCCCAGACACAGAAGAACCTCAGCACCTTCCTGTCCAACTCCTTGAACTGCTTGAGTTTGTCGAAGGAGGACGGCGTGTCGTAGGTCCTCAGAGCGGCCGCCTCAGCCCTCTTGGTGATGTACGGGTCTAACGGTATCTGCTGGGGCTCGTTCACAATTATACCTTCGCTCTCGAGGAAGTCCTGCGACACAAAAGAAAAATTTAGTTTAGTTTTAGTAAGTGTTTTACTTAATTTTATTAGAGGTTTTTTGGCGCTCGCAACTGCATAAGGTCATATGAGCGCCAGAAGATTAAAGGTTTCACAAGAGAGTAATTTACATAAAAAAGAAGAAGGGGAGATAAGGACGATAGATGTTTCATAGGAAAGAAGAAGCAAACCACACCAGAGCAACCGCCAACCACCCACTAAGTGTTTTATGGCACTTGCAACACAATAAGGTCATATAAATGCCGAAGATTAGAGGAGTTGCAAGAGAGTAACAAACACAAAAAAGAAGGAGAGATATGGACGATAGATGTTTGATTTGATAGGAAAGAAGAAGCCTTAACTCACGTTATAGAATGCAGTTATACTACTACAGAAACAAAAAATGAAACAGAAACAGCAACAACAACTAAAAAAACAAGGAAAACAGTCACATGATTGCATTTCCCTTAAACATGACTACAACTCAATTATTACAATCAAGACTTGTTCTTGGATTGCTGCTCAAATCTTTATCAGTCCCACAGAAGTGGCCACAGGAGGCTGTATACCCATCATCATTTTGTCAAAAACGTACTTCAAAGTGTCATGTCATTATCTGGCCAGCAATATTAGAGTGTTGGGAGGATGAGGAAATATTTGGTGGTTTCGAAACTTTTTCAGGCCCAAAGAAGATAGAAGATATACACACTCTATGAAAAAACTTCGGAGACATGTGTAGCCTTTTAAAACAGAGACAACTTTTTCAGATTTGACTGTGCTACTGATTATAACTGAGGGTACCAGAAGTAAAAGTAAAGTTGTTCCCGCATCCGATCCGGACATTGGGGATTGCCTTGTTAGTGAGACAACTTCCTGGGCCTTTGGTATATTGTGGTAGGGTGGCCAGTTCCTTTCCACGCCGCCTTTACTTCCCCAACTCGAAGTCAGGTACCCATTACTGCTGGGTGGGCAGGCGGTGGAGAAAAAAATCTGTGTCTGAACCGAGGCTCGAACCAGGATTTTCCGCTTCGGAGATGAGCGCACTAACCGCTCTGCCATCGCACCCTGTACCAGAAGTAAGACTTAAATTTTAGCTATGGAATCGTGTCTTACTTAAGTGTGATATATTCAATTACCGAAGTGAACTTATCACAGTTGGTGATGTGGAAGTTTTTCCCATAGAATGTAATGTTCATGCCCAGGTTGATGTCTTTCCAGTGCCAGCTGTCTCCCTGGTCGTTCTTCGGTAGCCGCTGACGCTTGATCAGTTTTCCTGGACAGACAAGCAAATAGAACTTATACATGTAGTGTGCTCAGTCAGAGATGAGGTAGGAAGAAGGTGGTGGCAATGGATTGGACATACTCTCAGGAAGTCAGGCAGCTGCATAACAAAGAAAGTTTGGGATTGGAACCCACAGGGTAAGAGATCAAGGGGAAGACCGCATGGAACCTGGAGAAAAATCACAGAAATCGATGTACAGAAAAGTGGGAAGACATGGAATAACATCAAGAAGCTAGCCCAGGATAGAGAATGGTGGAAGGTGTTTGTTTGTGGCCTATACCCAGGTGAGAAAGGCAATGATGATGATGATGATGTAGTGTGCTGTTTTCATTATTACAGCCAACAGTGGTATAAATGTTTCCTAACGAATGTTAAATGGTCCCCGTACTCAGATTTAATTTTAAGTTGTAATAATAAATTCAATTCAAACATAAACTTAGTTTTCAATCCCCAAGGAATATTATTGATTATAGGTCAAAACTGAATAACAGACACATTGGCCTAGCTCTCAAACTCAAAATAAATACACAATGCATATACAGAGCACCAGTTTGAAGCTTGATCTAATTTCTGAAGAAAAAAAAAACATTTACAAAAAACCCATCAGTTGCCTACCTTGAGGCATTCCTGAGTTCTCCACATGCGGCTCAATCACGGAGATACTGTCATCCTCCAAGTAGTAGAAGATTTCCACCGGGCGGACTCTGTAGTACTCCTCTGGGGACTCGTGCACGGTCTGCTTGTAGTAGCCGCTGAACTTGAGAACCTGCAGCATGGAATTCACCCAACTCATCACAAACATGTACCCTTCTCCCTCCGAGACCAAATTTTAACAACACATTCTATGAAACATTACAGAAACTGCAGCAAACCTGCACTTATCACTACATGGCATTGGACAGAAGGGCGAGAGCCCAGCTGTTGCTGGATCGATAACAATAACAACAACAACAACAACAACATCACAAACTCAAGAAATGAATGTTGTAAAGTGAAGTGGCTCAAGAAACATTCAAATCCAATATCTGTTATTGCTATCCAAACTGTTCATTTCTGTCTTTCTTTTCTAAGAGCATGCCCTTTTCTGTGGCTAAATGCACTACTCTGTCTTTTCCATATTCTTCCTATTTCTCTCCATTTAAAGGCATGCTCATCATATATTTTTTTCAAATTTCTTTCTTTTTTTAAATAATGGTATTACTAAACAATTTACTGCATAACCCAAACAGACATATGAGGACATTACAAAAGGGGTTTTGAACACCAATAAAATCAGTAGACCCTCCTACAGATTTGGCAAAGCAAATATAAGGCAGAAACGTGACATAATGTTTGCCAAATCAACAGTTTATGCAGCACAGTAGTCTACCCCTAAGAACACTTTGCATAGAAAAGTTTTTTCTTTTTTAGCGTAACAGAATCTATTTTATTTTTCTATAATTTTATTCATGCTTATTAAAAGAACCTCTATATCTAAAAATAGAAGTCCGCCCTAGACTCAATTAAGTTTGAACTTGGGCTGTTGTACTAGTACTTTCTGCACCGAGGGTAAAAGGAAAATAGGGTTTATTGACCTGGACTAACGGACGATGAATTCTACACGGTACATGCACACTTACACTTTTTCAGTTGCCTTAGCCCGCAATCAATGCACCTGCACGCTTTTGTCTCTTTTTTTTGTTTTCTTATCTTGAAGCGTGTATACAAGACTTGATGAATCGCATTACTTGAGGGTTGCTAGTGAAGATTTTGATAACAGCTCTAGACAGTCAAATTTCGCTTTTGGTTGAGCAGTGTATGTGTATTTCAACTAATCGATACTTTTCTCACACATACAAAGAAGAAGAAAAATCATTGATTCTATTATCTTTCCTCTTCTCACTCTATCAACACACACACATACACACACACACACACACACACACATACACACACACAAACACACACACTCTCTCTCTCTCTCACACACACATTCACTCACACAGCACTCACTCACTCACTCACTCACACACACACACCCATCATAGTAATATGAAGTTTCTAAATTAAAGTGGCACCAATCAAGCCAGCATCATTTACCTTCTTGTCCCATGCTACGTGAGCTGGTATGAAAGCAGCAGGAGGAGCTTGCTTGGCTTGTCCATAGGTCAGTGTAGGGCTGAAGTTGGCCAGTTCGTCCAGTTCACTTTCAGAGAGCTGATTGTGAAACAACTGAGTTCCCCCGACACCTCTCTCCGGACGCTTTGGCAAAGCATAGCCATTCTTGTAGCCTAAGCTCTGGCTGATATGAAATTTACTTTTCTGTTGGAAAGAGAGAAAAGATTTTCAATGCTTTTGATCATTGTTGTACCCAGCAATGTCAGTAACCTACACATACAACATTGTTTGGCTTCCAGTGAACTGGTCACACGGTGAAGTCGTCATATATATACCTTCAGTGATCTTGTCACAGTTATCTCGTCACATACTCCAACTTGTGAAAAACGTGTGGCGAGTTCACCATGGATCGGCAGGCAAACCCACACATATGTCAACCTTTAAGTAATGATATTTTTAAAATACAAAACCAGTCGAGTTTATTCAGTCAAAATCTACATATGTTTACCTTTTTGTTTCAAAATTTTAAAGAGAAAACCGGACACATTTTTAGGGGTGCAATATAAAACCTGTTAAAAATGTGCGTGTCCTTAACTGTGTACAATATAATATAAAATCAATCTAAAATGGTACAAGATAGCTGTGGAGGTGGTGTGACGTTCACTGTTATTTGAATACTTTTTTCCGGTGAACTCACCACACGTTTTTCAACTGTGTCAGCTTCACTGTGTGACGAGCTCACTGGTTCCCCATTATTCACCGTATATATAACCTGACTTTTTTCAACGCATCAAAAGGAATCAAACATGCATAGGCTATTTTTACATATATATATCTATTCGAGATCAGAACCATATTCTTCAGTTATTCTTTGACTATCACTTGGTTACATTGCTCAGCACAACACAAACACATCATATCCATAACAAATAAAACAATATAAGGCCTAGACGTAGATCTAATATTAATAATATTTTATACTATTCTGTACACAACAGTGATCCGATCGGTTTCTCGGCTTGTTTGAATAAGCTAATAAATAAACCATGAAATGCTTGCTTATTGCACAGGGGAATTTTACTAAATCCAGATATAGATCTAGATCTAATCTCAAAGTTTAGAATAATACATTTCTAGTTCTTCTTTATCATATCATCAGTATTTGGTTGGATCATAACAAACAGGAAAACGAAGGAGATTCCATATGTGCAGACCGACAGCCGACAGAAGTATTTGCATTTTGTGACAGACTGATCAACAGAGCCAGCACTATAAAGTTTGGAAATAGAGAAAGTACAAACTTACTGTGGGATCCACAAAAGTGTTCCCTGGAAGAAACGGCAAGCCCTCCATATTCTGTTCCCTGAAGTCAAACGAATCACCAGTCTCTACGCTCCTTCAGCCTGGGTGAAGAGGGAAACAACTCAACCCGTGTACATAGTTGTTATGCGTTGCTAGGCTAGAACTTCTCGCATTTTCTCACCAGCTGAAAGGACTTGGAAAATAATATAGATTCAATGCTTTATAATGATATATTTGTATTTTTCAATATTGCAATTAAAATCATCCCAATATTACTCCATGTTACAAAAATTCATTCAATTTTCAATCTTTATTTTTCCTAAAGTTGGATTGGACAAATTTCGCCCCATGAGAGCTCTCTCCCCCCTCCATTCATTCCTCTTGATACTAAAGATAGACAACTCAAGGCCAAGCCTGTTTAGGTTTGATTTCCGGTTTTGATTTACTCGACTGCTAGAGTTGATTCATAATGCAACAGTGAGGGACGGTACCTCATCATCTTACCGTGAAGTTTGTCTCGGGACTTCTTCGATGTAAATCTAAATGCATTACTGATCATCTTCTGGGTGCACCCATGATGGAAGAGGTGAGAAAGTTTAAAGAGATGAAGAGTTCCAGACTATGTTTGAGTTAAATTGATTACGTTTTGCTGTTCTTCGAATCGACTTTCCCACACTTCACAGAGTGAGTGAAGTGAGTGCTCCCGAGTTCGTCCATGGTCTGAGTCTGACTCATCCGTACCCGCGTATCAGTATCAGATCAGATCGCTTGTCGAAGGTCTTTCTGAAATTGCCTTGCTATAGACGAATCTTGCTCATTCTACATCACCAGTGCACTGGGCTTGTGGTAGCTCACTGCTAACACTAATGTAAAATAAATACGGCACTTGATGTTGGAACAGTTTTATATTTTGTTTTGGTTTTGTTTGTCTATCATGTTAGCATTTGGAAAAAGGGGGTGGGGTTCTGCTTGATCTATGTACTACTGAACTGGCATTGAGGAGCCAAAAAGCAATAAATGACTGGATCGATCTAGATTCTATTTGTTCGTAAAGTGTTGGGGTAAACAAGTTGGTCCAGGTCCAAGGAAATCATGTGTGCTTTCTTTCAGTTCAAATCGTCTCCCCTCATTTTCTTTGCATATGTAGTAAGCATGGGCGAAGTCAAGTCGAGATTCGGAATTCGACGAATTCGTGGGGTCTGAGTCGGAGATCGAACATTGGGCAGGAGGGCGAGTCCGAACACGAATTCCCGAACTAGGGCAGCCATGGGGAAAATAGATCACGAGGAGCGAAAACATATTTAATTTGTTTAAAACTGTGAATAATTTTACGCAAAACTGCACCCAAGAAACATTTTTGGACGCTCAAAATTTAGATTTACCAATAAATGAATAAAAATGCATAAGTATAATAAAACACGATGTCTGATTTCTATTTTCCCCTCGCTGTGTTCAGAAGGAAGCGGCGAGTTCGAATTGGACCGTCCCACGATTCCAACGACTCAATGAAAGTCACATGAGCCTTTAGAACGCGCTGATTCGCTAGCAGTTACAAATCCCTTCTGCTAGTGGTTATGCCCAAAGAGGCCAAGGTCAATTTTACGCACTACGGTGACGGACGAGCATTGCGTCTCTGATTGCACCAATCACAATTGCAAGCCATCTTCACGTCAAATTCAAATCCCGTGATTATCCCAGCCTCCTTCTTTCTTTGGCTTTCACTGCGATCACACACATTTCACTACTTTTCTTCTCTTCATTGTACTATTTACATGTATTTTCTTACGACCTGTCTGGCACTTACATTTACATTGTCACATTTCTTGTCTCTTTTGCATTACTCCATGTTTGTTTTCAACCTTGTATGTTTCATCTTGTCATAATAAATGTTGATTATGATATAGATCTAAATCTAGATCTATTACTGTTATTTTTTATAGACTTCTGTCTTGCTGACTGTTGCTTTGATTAATGCATGGTCTGACTTTAGAGTTCGAGACAGCTGGATTTTATGCTTTGATTTTTATTATGACCTGTTTGCATTCATTATCCTCGCACATGAAAGCGGCTGTACTGTCAACGAGGGGCAAATAACTTTCAAAACAAACTGGTGCCCTCCCCTGATGTCAATGAAAACATTGCCTGCCTCAATCCCGACCTCTGTGACCTCTTCCCTGCTCCTTCCCCCTCCCCCTCCCCGCCCCCTGTGTCTACACCGGTCCGTGGCGTCGGGATTCTCTACAGCGTGTTCGACTCGACGGCTGTAGGGAGAACGACTTGACTTGACACGAATCCCACCGAATTGACCTTGCCTCTCCTCAAATTTGATTGGCTGCTATTTTGACCTGAATTCGAATTCGGAGTCGAAGTCGACGAATTCGGGCCCAAAAATGTTCGGAGTCGAAAGTTCGGAAGTTCTCGGAGTCGGCCCACCCTTAATATGTAGGTAGTCCTTGGTTGCCGAAGATGGCGATGAAATCCTACTGCTCATCTGTGGACACGCATATGTGGCTGTGCAATCCAATCCTGGATGTACAATGTCTGTTGCCGTGGGGACACTGGAATATCGTGGTTGGGGTGGTCGGATGTCTCCTCTCTCTTTTCTGATGACAGCTTTTCCCTGTAGTTGATAGGCCTAATGCTGTTTCTGCTGGCTAGACGGACGGCCCTGCGCCAGGTGTCCCTTTGCATGTAACTCTCAAGTAACACCTGTAGTCTTCAGCACTTGTTTGTTCTCTTTGTTACTGTATCTTTACAACATAATATGATTTTTACCAGTCTTGGTTGTTAGCCCTGAGGTGAACCTCTGGACCCTGGACTTGTATATATCCTTTTTTTATTTAGTGTTGCAAGTGCTGTAAAACTCTTACTGTTTGTAAGCTAAAACAATGTTTCTATCTGACTGTTGCAGCCCAGTGGGTGCTTGGCGGGTGTTCTGGTGTGGTTTACTCCTTCTTTCCTCCTATAAAAATATTCTATCGTCTCTATCTTCCCCTCCTTCTTTTTTATGTTTGCTACTCTCTTGTAACACCTCTAATCTTCGGCACTTATATGACCTTATTGTTCTGCAAGTGTCGTAAAACTCTTTAAACTAAATAAATAACTTCAACAGTCTTTGTTCCGAACTTAGTAAGTATTTGAGCAATTGCCAAAACGTGAGACTCTCTTGAGACTCAGTGGTGCAAAAAAATTTTTCTTACCAATTTGACTCTCTTTTCTGTCAGTCACAGATTGACATTTAGTGCTCATATTCCTAGAGTATCAGAGCAAGGAGATGTACGGTTTTGGAGATATGGGTCTATTGGTTTGGTAACTGCTGTATTTCTTGTATATATATGAGCTTTTAATTGCCAAAAGGTGGGGGTGTTTGCTTAAGGACTTTTTAAATCAACCACTACTCATGGTAAAATATGTTTTCTTCTGAAAACTTTATGTATATGACAAGGAAATAAGTTGGTCAAGCTGCATGAGCAAGTAGATTGATGTGTGCATCTTATATCTCTACATAGATAAGAAAGATAATAGTACTAAAAATAGGGCATTTTTTACTCATCCTGAGTGCACACATAATTGTATGTTAAATACAGAATATTGTTAATCTTAAACTATCAAACAGAAGTGCATTCAAACATTGAAAATAGTTTGTATACACCATCATAACAGTGTGTGTCCATTAAAAGGGTTTTATTTTTTTATATTAATGATGTTATTGCTGAGTAAAATTTATAAGTTCGTTCATAACTCGTGTCATAATTACATCATCAGACTTTCCAAGGTCTAGAAAACCCAAATCGTTTAACATATCATCCCGGGGAATGACCGGTATTAAACATTGGTTTGACATTGATCCATCAGAAGGGTAATTTTCCGCTCCATGGCATAGTTTTGCTTAAATATGACTTTGATTGAGATAATCCAGGTTTGTCATAATGATGTTATGAACAAAAACTTTATGATATTTCTGCAAAATATCATGTGAGGGACTTCCCACTGTTTCACAACATCCTTTTACATGGTGGAATGAACATGGAAGAGTATCGTGCTGATGACTCAAAAGAGAAGCAAAGAAGAGGCAAAAATATGCTTGTCATAATGGATTGTCATCATGTTATGAACGTGACAGTGTGTCATAATGGTTATGAACGAAACCTTATTCCATGTAATTCACAGTTATTTTGGGATGTATTTTTAATTTTAACCCAACTTGAGGATGTATTAGACCTTGCTTACATTCTGAAATTTTGATTTTTATCATAGGTGTATGGGTCTGGATTTTAATTAGTATTTTACTTTTGTAGTAATGGTTATGAACGAACTACATATTGTACTCTGAGGGCTTTCCAGAGTTGATAAACATTAAAAACATGTACACAGATACATATTATGAGGAAATTTTCATTTAATATAAAATTTTAAAGTAAATGACAGGTCAAAATATTAATTTTTAGGTCAAAACTGAAGTTTGTCATAATAGTTATGAACGAACAATTAAAGATATTCTAAGGGTTTTTCAGTGATTAAACTTTGAATTCTTCCCACATATAACCTTATTTTGAGGAGAGTCTCATAAATTAAAACAATTTTATGTGAATGACAGCACAATAAGTTAATTTTTTGGGCCCAAAGTAAAATTTGTCATAATAGTTATGAACGAAACAGTGTGTCATAACGGTTATGAACGAAACATTATTCCATGTAATTTACAGTTGTTTTGGGATGTATTTTTAATTTTAACCCAACTAAAGGACAGAATAGACCTTGCATACATTCTGATATTTTGATTTTTATCATAAGTGTATGGGTGTGGATTTTAATTAGTATTATACTTTTGTAGTAATGGTTATGAACGAACTATTTATAGTCCACTTTATATATTTTGAGGGCTTTTCAGTGTTAACAAACTTTAAAAACATGTACAGAGATACATATTATGAGGAGAGTTTCATTTAATAAAAGTTTAAAAAAATAAAATGACAGCTCAAAATGAGTAAATTTTTAGGTCAAAATTGAAGTTTGTCGTAATTGTTATGAACGAACCATTTTAAAGGTATTCTAAGGGTTTTTCAGGAAATAAACTTTGAATTCTCCCTACATAGAGGAATCTATCATATTTTAAGGAAAGCCTCATAAATGAAAACCGTTTTATGTGAAAGACAGAACAGTATAAGTAAATTTTAGGGGCCAAAAGTAAAGTTTGTCATAATAGTTATGAACGAAACAGTGTGTCATAATGGTTATGAACGAACTTTAAATTTATGCATAATATGCCCTAAGACCAGTTTGCGTTTAAAAATAGCTGTTCAATGGTCTTCCATTTATCACTTGACTATAATTTGACCAGAGTGTTATTTTAGACAATTCTAGTCGATGAAACTTGATATAATCGATAGTATTTTGGTCACTTATTGTTCGTTCATAACTATTATGACACAAAAAAGTAATTTTATCAAAAATTAATAAAGATTTTTATAAACTGTCAATTCTATGTATTTTTGGAAGTTATTTGCTATGTCTCAAAATATGACATCAGCCTAGCTGAAAAAAGGAACTTTGAGTATTCATAAATTTGTGTCATCATTGTTATGAACGAACTTTTTGCTATTTCCGTCATTCAAGTCAGAATTACACCAAGACCATTGCATACAGCTTTGGCAGTTACTGAGCCTGAAAGAGCAATCATTAGGCTATATAATATGGGTGATTAAAGAATTATTACATTAAGTTGATTTTGGACCTCATTTGTCACACCCTGGTATCCCACCTTTTGGCAAATGCTCATACAGTGATGACAAAAACAGATAAGCAGCAAGGCAAATTATAGACTTTAAATTCCATTTGTTTAGTAAACAAACACTTTGTACACTATGAACTCCATTCATAATGGTAATATGAATGGCAAGCTTTGTAACAATGACGCAGTGCACAGAACATGTCATCATTGTTATGTACAAGAAAGGATACACATTGGACATTATCATTGACAACACATCACAATAGTGAAAGGCTGTACAAATACAGTTATCAAAGCCTCAGTACCAGAAAAACACATGTGTAAAACAATTTTTTAACTAATATGAGGCAAAAGCACAAAATCAATGGAGCTGACTTGTACATAACAGTGATGACAAACATGACTTGTACATAACAATGATGACACAATGTACAGGAAAAGACAAAAGTCTTGCCTCCAGAGATAAAAGCGCACTTTAAGAATTTAAAAAAACCCAGGAGAGGTTTCTTTTGCTTTGAAACAGATACCAGGTCATATCAAAGACAGTGGACGATCACAATTATATGTTGCTAATTATGACAAACAGTACTCGTAATAACAGTGATGACAAAACATACTGGGAAAAGGTAAAATCATGCCTACAAAGAACAAATTTGCACTAAGAGATACACAGATCAATAAAGGCGTATTTTGCTTCTAAATGAATCTTGCATGTATGAAATATATGTTGAAAACTTATTGATATTAGCAATTATGAAAAATATTACTTGTACATAACAATGATGACACAATGTATTGGAAAAAGGTATATCATACCAACAAAGAACATATGTGTATTTTTGAGTTAGACAGATAAACAAGGACATGTTTGTTTATTTGTTTGAGTAAAGAGAGCACACATTACTTAAAAAATGTTTGCTCTTAGGACAATGTAATTTCTTGTACGTCAGTCAGTCTTGTACGGCTGCATGACGACACCCCAAACGTCATCACTGAGCACAAAAGCTAATCTATAACCACAGAAATGGTCCATCTCTCGAAGTTTGTTCACACATCACACTCTTGTTCCAGGAATCCAGTGTAAACACCGCAATTTCACTAAAATATTCAACAGAGTAGCCTAAAAACACGCAAAACAGCCTAGTACGTCACATTCAACGCAAAATTCTTGTGCGTCACCGGACGCTGAAGGCAATGACTACTTTCTTTTTTCTGTTTCCCCCGTTGCTTCCGTTGTTCTGGGGACGCGGGTAAGGGGAAGTCACTCAAGAAAACAATTATATCCGGGCACTTTTGATGACCCGTTCAAAACAAAAGTGGGCGAAATTCGGACTTCCGGCGCGTCGCAAGTTGACGACAATAACGGCGAATGTTAAACAGCCGACCGAAATCGTAGATCTAGGAACCCGGTGTTCCTTTCGCGCATCGCGGCTTTTGAAGTATTGAATAAACGACGATAGGCAAAGAGATTTAACCAGCTACGGTGATTCTACTGAAAAATAATGGTGTTTTCTGAAACACCTAGTCCGTGACGACACGACAGACGCACAAGTAATCCGAATTGTTTGTCTATTTGCAAACAAATAAACCGATTTCTTGAGCAAGTTAACCTTTCTCAATGACAAATAACATAGGATCAAAGCACACGTAAAAAAAAACCCCACCCAAAAATACTAAATTTTGGACTTTCTTGGAAGTTTGCATTGGTGTGCTCAAAATGACACTCCAGGAATCACTAAAAAACGAACATTTTTGGCACAAAATTTACAAACTCAAGATTGTAAAGCTGACAAGGTATCTGAAACTGCTAATGCAGGTTCTACATCCTATATTTGACGTGTGTATACGTTTTGGAGGAATAAATACTAATGCATCACATTTTATGCACACTAATGTGAGATGTGTGTGTTTTTCCCCACGTTTTGGCAATGGCTCATTTATTTCGTCAACAATACGAAATCACGTTTGACATAGGTACCTGAGAACACATGGCGCGACTGAACATGCCTATAACATAATAAATTGAATATCCTGTACTGACTGTTGCAGCCCGAGTGTGTGGAGGCGTCCCTGCGGGACAGCGAGAACAAGCCAATCCCCATCCAGCTCATGCTGTTCCCCGACGCGCTGCTGGTGCAGAAGCAGGAGTGGGTCAGTGTACAGCTGGACGAGGAGGATGAGGTGTTTCTCAACATGGTAGGTCAAGCCGCTGACTCGTGATAGAATATGGAAGCTCAAATCATATGTGGTAATGTATACCCGGCCTTAGACAGTGAAAGATCTTGTCAGTATGTTAGTGTTGTAGCGCCTATAAATGGCGTGGCAGCTTGCACTGTATGCTTCCCAGGAAGTTGAGGTTGTTTCAGAATGCTCTCAAGTCTGCTTGGGTAATAGTATAGATTGTGGAGCGCATAGAGCTTGCTGTTGAGCGGGGATTTGTGCAATACAAATGCTATCCGTTATTATTATGTCCTCAGGTGAGAAAAGTGACCAGAGAATCAATGTTTTTATCATGTGTGTGTGTGTGTGTCCTTAGGTGAGAGAGGAGGAGGTGAGCAGAGAGCCAGTGTTTTTGTCATTTGTGTGTGTGTGTGTGTGTGTGTGTGTGTGTGTGTGTGTGTGTGTGTGTGTGTGTGTGTGTCCCCTCAGGTGAGAGATATGACCAGAGAGCCAGTGTTTTTATCATATGTGTGTGTGTGTCCTCAGGTGAGAGAGGTGGAGGTGAGCAGAGAGCCAGGGGCTGGCTTTGGCCTATGTGTGAAGGGGGGCGCGGAGCACCGACTGCCCGTCCTCATCTCCAGGATGGTCAAGAACGAAGCGGCAGACCGCAGCGGACAGCTCCTGGTGGGGGATGCTATCCTCAGGGTAAGTGCACGCAGAAATGGGTCTACTGGGGGAACAAATGGGTCGACTGGGGGAACAAATGTGTCAACTGGGGGAACAAATCTGTCAACTGGGGAACAAATGTGTCAACTGGGGGAACAAATGTGTCAACTGCTGTCCTCAGAGAAAGTTGCATTTGAAAATAGCAAAAGTTGCAAAAAGTTGCAAGAAAAATGAGCAAAAGTTGCAAGTAAAGTTGCAAGACGTGTATAGCTAAAACAATGCCACGGAACTATTGGAATACCTTGTTGCTATGCTCATTGCAATAAAAAGTAACCAATATGAGTTTTGTTAGATCAAAATCAGAAGTTAAATGTGAATGTCTGCCGTACAAAAAAACAACAACCCCACTGCATGGAGGCTGCATGGTGTACAAAACACTGACACATGCGTCAGGTCCTTAAACTCTCGGTGACGTTGGGCAGGTGTGACCAGCGTGGTTTTGGGGCTGTTCAAATAAAATCTTACACTATTTTTAGGACTTTT